ACTTTTAATTCCTACATTTTAAGAGTTTGTGAGTGAGTTATCAATAGACTGTAAAGAACATAATAAGTTGTGTAAATCCATTGATATGTTTGCTTTATCATTAATTATTTATAAAAATACCTTATATTAAGGTACCAAAAAATTTTAATCTTTAACTGTCTAGCACTTCAAGCATATAAAATTTTCTATCCAATATTATTTATTTCACAAAGATACAAGGATACTTTCAATGAGCACCCTGACGTCTGAAGTAAATATACAAAATCTGGGTATCAAACACCAGATTCCTCATCTACCTCATGGGAACATAGAAATCCATGTGATATAAATTATGTAAAATGATTAGAAAAAAAATGAAATCGAAAACTATGGAGCTAGATAAACAAGTGTGATAGTGCATGCATTTAATAAACTTTTTATGTACACCATTTCATCTATTTGTTATAGATAGTTCTGTAATTTTGTGGTTGCTTATTGATATGTAAAAATGTTGGCAAACTTTAAAAATAAAATAAATTATATCTTGATTATTAATCTTAAATTATTATTTTTTATTAAAAACTTACATTTTATAGATAAATTAATAGGTTTTCATTCCTCTATGAATTTGAAATGTTGAATTCATATTATGTAGATTCTTAACATAAATAGGGTCCACCTAGTTGAGGCATGTAATGTAAATTAAAATTGAAAAATTATATTTCTGTTAAAACTTTACATAATTATAAACAATCATTGTAAATAGGAACATCGTAAAAATCATTATTAGATTGTAGGGGCTTTTGGCTTTAAGTAAACTTATCTATGATTATAAAAACATGAATTTTTGAATATTTTGTATTGAAAAAAGTAAACTATTGTAGTATTTTTACAGGAAAACTTAAGTGTGTATTTACAAGCATGTGTGGAATTCCAATAAAAATGGCACTGAAAAAGTCCTTGTTTACAAATTAATTAATTTATCATTATTTTTTCTGATCACTTTTGCATTTGCAATACTATATCGATATTTATCTTAAAGGAAAATAATTAAAAAACCCACTTCAACAATTAGTGCTTGAGGTGGGATTTAAACCCATAAACACTCACAGTCTGGGCGTCTGCTAAAACCAATTTAACTACCAGATATCCAGCAGGTTTTGTGAATTTAAGAATTACTTGCATTACTAGTGAGTGAGAGATATGCTCATTTATGTTTAGGAAGTTCACCAAATCTATATTAATAATACCATTATAGAGAATAGAATAGAAAATTCTTTATTGTTAACATTACACAAGTTATATAGGTATACGAATTTAAAACAGTTTAACAAAATAATGTAACAATTGGTGGCCTTATCGCTTAAAGTGATTTCTTCCAGGCAATCATGGGATGGAGAGAGAGAGATAACAATTTATGAAGACGGGTGTAAATTTTATCAATAACATTAAAAAGAAAATATGATCAAATAATAATCTTAATTAAAAAATTATAATTATGAATATTTTTTTTCTGACATAAGTATTACTCACTTTTTTATTTGGAGATTATAATATTATAAAGGATTATTACATCATATCATCATCATGTTTAAAGGATTGTTAAACAGGTAAATATACTGTTTATAAGATTTTATTCTGAATTATTTTTAATTTAAAAAAATTACATAAAATTGAGCTTAGCCGCAGCTCAGTTTTATGTAACATTTGAAATAACATGAGGCTTTCTGTAACCATATATTAAGTTGCGTGCAAGATAAATGTTCAGCCTAATTAGTATTACCTACATGAAAAATACATATTCTACTGTTTTTGACACAAAGTTAAAACCAACCACCAATTTTAACCCAAAGAAAACTGTCATACACTATGATGGGTTACAATTTGGAACAAAAAAAAATAAGCCTGTGAATCAGGAGCTCTTGTTCAATTTTGCAGGATAAAAGAACTTACACATAGTAAGTTCTTTTATATCAGTTGAAACTTATACTTAATTTGCTCATAGTCAGCATGGATGACAGCTGCGAGCAGATCTATGCAACTACAAGAATTTAATTTGTATACAATTTAATGTGAAAGATATGTCAAATCATTAATAATTTTCTCTGATCTTACTTATAATATCTAGTCAATAATGACATTTCTAATGGGTTTCTATAACAAACATTGTTTTAAATTTAATCTTGTATAGATTTTCCACAGTATATATTATGTTGCCTTGCTTGATTCGGTGTACAGATGTAGGTATAGTCAGATTTCGAAAGATATTGGATTCATTTCATCATCAATAATTCTCTCTTAAATGTCTACTTTGAGTCGACTATCGTATATCTTCTTCACTATGTTATTGATACGTATGAATATTTATTTTCAATCGAAAACTTCTTCTTTTATTAAGGGCTTTGTCATAATTCTGCCAATTTCACGTGCGTAGCCAATACATGGTATGAATTATTTTATAAAATTAATTTTGTAAATAATATTTTCAAGTATAATGTTTCACTTTCTATTACAGTTTAATATTACAAAAAAATACACATATGCGGATTGTTTTAGTAGATATCCCATATTAAATTGTCATTTACAATTCAATTTTGTCAATTTCATTCTTCTTTTATTAATGGTATATCTGCGCATTTCACACAATTCTGCCAAAGTCAAGTGAATAAATTAATTTCTACATGTAAAATTAAAAAGTAATGAATGAAAGATTAAGTAAAACATGTCTGTATCATTGTGGTTTGTATTGACAAAAAGTGAATTGGTGTTGCAATATGAAAATCAAACATCGATTGGAAAATAATCGATTAATTCACTATATGTAATAGAACTGCAGTAACATTTATTGAATAAAAAAAACTTTAATATACTTTTAGTTAATTTTGGTGCAATTTTGCATTTTTCCTAAGTTTTACGGACTACTACGGTTGTTGATTCAACAATGCCCAAATAAATAAATATATATATATTATTATTATTATGTAATTTCCAATGCCCGTAATTGGAAATATTATATGAAAACCTAATGAAGTCCCATAAAGTCACAATATGAACTATCCATGTAGTTTGATGAAGTCCGATGATATTCAATGAAGTTTAATGAATTCTGTTTAAATGGATTGAAGTTACTAAAGTCATATGCAATCATCATTTAACTTTAACATTTAATTTTTAGTACAAACAAATATATAAATTTAATGATTATTTTTGTTGTACATTCTTTTGAAACGGAGTTGTTTAAAGTAAAGTATACACCTCTGGATTAATGCTCGTCCTAGTCTTGGACTGATTGCATACCTCACTTATTACAGTTTGTTAGTGACCGAAAATGAGTCAAAACTTTTCTGTTCACGACCTACCTATGTAGGTACCGTTTTATTTTACGGAATCATATTATTCACTTTCATGCTACTTTATCTCACATAATAACATTTATTTTGCGAATTAAAACTCGGTATAAACAATAAAATAAACCAACACCATTCGAATTTTGAAACTTAACCATTTAAGCTTGAGTTATCTTTAGTCGACGCCAGGATTTATAGTATTTCATCTGACTTTTTTGTTAATTAAAAGACTTAATTATATCGGATTTATGCTTTAAATATTAAGCATGTTTAAAGTTGAGTGCTTAATAAAAGTTAGAATTGGGTATATTACGATTTTCTGAAAATTAATTAATTAAAATAGTTGTTTGATACATTATAAACACACTGTCAATATATTACATGAGAATCTGTTCTATTTTCGATGAATATAATTGTTTAAATCTACAGATTCTAAGAAATAAACTTTTATTAGATTATTATCTAACATGATGATAATAGTACGAAACTTATTTTTATAGTGTCAAATACCCATAATGATAAAAATATTAATTATAAATTCGCGTTTTGGGTATTTTCCCTTATAGCTTAACACTTAGGTATGCACTTTCTTAATGTAGCTAATATTCGGGTGTTTCGTCCGTATTTTAAAACGTTCGAATAAGAATATAATAGATTCATTACGTACAGAAATGATAAAAAAATGAAGGAATGAATAATCATTAATCGTCTCCCGTTTAACTAATAATTTCATTTATTTTATTCTGGTAACACTAATGACAGCTGTTTGGTTCGGCTGCGATTTGGCTCCGATTACGTTTCAGTTTAGTAAACGTTCGTTTGATAATTTACGTTAGCGGAATGCAAATTTACAGCAAAAATCGAAACGTAACCGTTACAGAAACGCTATTGATGATCGATCGTTGTAAATTAGTAGAATTGGCCCCCTGGTCTTAAATTAGGTAACCACTTTTAATATTATAGCCTTTTTTTCTTTTGTAACCGTGAAAAGCGTAAATAAAATTGTAATAATAAGTAAACAGCCTAATTATCAATTTCGTCAGTAAAAAATGGTATGATAAGTTACATTGAAATTTCATTGTTTAATTCAATAAAAAAATAACGATTTATTGTTAAGTAGGTACGTAACACAGAATTTGATGACGCGGGACCCTAAATCGGTGCACTTTTGATTTAGGTACATTGGTGTTCGAGTTGCAATAATAATAACCTATGTAGTTTTGGTCATCGCGTCAGTCGCGTCCGTGACTTTCATCGGCGTACTTGTGAGTTTTCAGAATTTAGAAGGTCAACTTACGTTTTCGTTCTTTCGGGACTTTTGGTTTGTTTTTCATTCTCGTTCTGTTTACCTGTGTGTTATGTTTGTGTGCGGTCAGTGCAATGAATTCGTACTCAAATGCCTAATATTACGAGATGATAATGTGTGGCGGTGCTTGTGACGGTAATCTTGCTGCGGCTCGGCGACGTTATGACGAGCGCCACGTGTCAGGAAGATCTGAAAACCATCGACGTCCTCCTTCTTACCGGTGATTCGCGGCACTTGTGAATCGGTTACATACAACTGGTTCATTCCATAGTGTGCCACAGGTAGGCCGGCCGAACACCTATTCCATCGAGACAGAGGATATGATTTTACGTCGAGAGTAACACGACACGGTCTGTGTCGAGTCGAATGGCGATGTGTGTTTTATGCGGTGGCCGGCATATCGAGACACTGATAAAGTGGATGTGAAGTGTAGGTAATATTGACAAGTGAAAGCTGAAAGAGTGATTAGAACGCTGTAAGTATGTACCTGTTTAATCTAAAATTGTTTTAATTACAAGTAAACTCATACGTAGTGGAGTGCGCGCGTCGGCGACATCAAAATGTAGGAAACGAGAGAGTGAGAGGTAATGAGAGAGAGAGAGAGAGAGAGAAAGAACGAGTACGCCGGGACGGCACGTATAAGCTTACAGGGTTGTAGCATAGTAATTGAAAACAAATTGTTCAAATATTTATATGAATTGTTTTTTGACATATCGCACGCCTAGATCTAAACTAAGACAACTCAAAAACCTAATGTGGAGGTTTGACAATACATTTGTTTACGTGGCAGGAGCGCGACCACTGTTGATTCGACAAAAGAAAGCTAAAGTTATCTAGCGGCTCATCCCCGAACCTTTATTGAAGCTGTTATGTTGGATAGATGCGTATGATCACCGAGAATTTGAATATCGTACAAAGTCAAAACTCGCTCAAATTTTTGAGTTGTCTCAGTTTAGATCTAGGTGTGCGATATCAATTGTGTTCTTTGTGCTAGGTTGTATGGCCATGTTTCGGGATTATACAGGTATTACCAAACACGCTGTATAATTCTAATCCGATTTCCTTCCTATTTCAATAAATTTTTTAGGTGATCCTCTAAATAATTCAGGGATCCTCTCGAATAAAAAATAATAATATCGCTCTACAATACTAATTTTAAATTGTAGGCATAAACTTAAATTAATGGAAAACGCCAGACAGAAATTGGAAGTTGAGAAAGAAGAACGAGAAAACGCACAGCTGACTCAGAAACTACTTGCAAATGAAGCTAAACAGCAAGTACTATACAATTCTTACTTCCATTACTTCAGTCAATTGTTGATAGAAGTTATAATATAAACTAGCTTAGCTACGCGGCGAACTTCATTATAACCCGGAATTTAATCAGGGGCATCTGTCCCGAGCATCACTTTGAAATTTGAAAAATAATTTTTTTTTTCTAAAATATGTAAGCTGTCATTATTTTTTATTAATTCTAAGAAAAAATACGTTCCTTATACAGTATATCTGACAGTTTTTAGCAATTTATTTCAAAACAGTAACAAAAATCCGCGATTACAAAATTTAGTCTTGCTTGTTGAACAGTTCGGTACCATTATCTATATAAAAGTTTTCTTAGTTTATTTCTTATACATTACAAAAGTGAGCAGTGTAACGAAATAAAGTTAGATATAGTGAAGATATTTAGGTATTTCATTGTTATGCCATGGCAGATTTCACTGATCTATCCTTAAGGCGAATTTTCTCAACACTATATATTGTCCTCCATTTTTTACGTAGCGAGATTATGAAGATCATATTAGGAGAGTTATAAAAGAATATGAAAAATTACAAAAGGAATGGAAAGAACGAAGACAAGAGAGAGCAAAATTAGACGAAGCTTTAGCTGATGCTCAGCGTAGCGAAGCTGAAATGAAACACTGTAGAATACAACGCGTAATGCAAAAGGTAAGCAAGCATTCTTGGCAAAATTTTTGAAAATGGCTTTAATTTATTGTTTTTTCTTTACTGTATTAACTCAAAGAAACATCAATAGCCCATTTATTTTGATTGTGAATTGGTTTAGTTAGATATATACCTACAGACGCTATTGCGATGTAGCCAAACTAGAAGATTTCAAATAAATAAAACTAACAATAATTTATCATTATTTCAAACACTTAATCACCCAAAATGTTAGCTTCATCAGGACAAAAGAGATACAGAAAAATCCCGTGAACATTATGAATTCATCAAGAATATACAGGAGGCAGAAAAGATTCGTTACGAGGAATTTTTAGCAGCTGGGATAAAACGGCAAGAGGAAAAGTAATTATCATAAAAACTTACTCTTAATCAAAATGTATCTATTTTGAAAATGTATCTATTAAGGAAGTTTACGAATTATTCCATTGTAGTAATTTAATAAATGAGTATATAAAAGTTGCTATGCATCTGCACTCAATAAATGCTAATCTCGCAAAATATTATAAAGAATACTTAAACGAGTTTTTTGCACAGAAAAATCTGTGTAGTGCAGGTTACGGTTCATAGATAGATAAATCTGTCATTAATTACTGATCCTGTTTGTTTAGGTTAACCTTACAAATTTAGGCATAAACAAAGAGTAAATGTGGTAATTTTCTTATACCTTTAACTAGTTCCTTATAAGATTTTAATAGGTTCTATGAATAGACAATAAAAAATCCCATTTTAATAATTTAAGCTTTTCTAAAAAAGAAAAAGAAGAGTTTCTTAACAAGAAATTGAAACAGAAAGAACATTACAACATCGCATTAGAGAACAAGATAACGTCCGAGTTACAGCAGCGATGTCCCTGTCGAAAAGCCGACAAATACTTCTGCGACAGACAGACCCTGTTTTGCAAAGCGCATACAGCAATAAGAGCTGAAATTAACGAAAGTAAGTATAATAAAACTGTACAAGTACGAGACGGACCCGCGCACGAAGGGTTGCGTACAGTTTCCGAAAACGAGCAAAATATCCACGTTTGTTGTATGGGAGCCCCTTAAATAATTATATTAAATAATAATTAATTTGTGTTGTTGTTATAGCGGTAACAGAAATACATGATCTGTGAAAATTTCAACTGTCTAACTTTCACGGTTCATGAGATACAGCCTGTTGACAGACAGAGAAGTCTTAGTAATAGGGTTTCCATTTTACCCTTTGGGTACGGAACCCTAAAAAACTAGCCCTAGCCTGCGCACTCTCTCTCCGATTCTCTTCATATCCGACTCCATATGAACATAAAATTTTAAAACCATAGATATTCTATAGGTATTTTTATAATCTATTTCTGAGATGTTATGATAGAGAATTAATTATCTGTATTTTGTTCATAACTTCAGACCCTGTACTTTTGGAGATTAGATTTTCTATAAGGTACGATAACAAACAGTGTTGTGTTACAGAAAATGCCTGTAATGATATTTGCAACACAAACAAGTTAGAGAAAAATGTCACTTTTGGTTTTCTAGGCCGTTCTATAAAACTGTTGGAAGGCCAGAAGTTGCGTGAAAAGCAACCAACGCCTTGGAACGGTCTAAGCGGTGCACATGCTACGTTCGCTAAACAAGCCGGAGAGACACTAAAGGAATGCCGACATAAGATCTTCGCGAGAAAAGTTGTAGACGTAAGATTAGTAGACCATCCATGATAATACTAAACTAATTTAATATAGTGTGAAAAAAAAAATAAAACTGATTTCAAAAACATAAGAAATAACCGCCGAACTCCAATAGAATTTTTATGACCATATTATGCACCGCCTTTGAAATGATTGTTATTTTTCATGTTTTTGAAGTCAAATTTATTTTTACGAAACTTTTATTTAATTATTTAATGTTAATTTATTGCCACAAAATGTACAAAATGAAAGAACGAACGGCCAACGAACACCAAACGTAATACCGCAAAGAATACCGATGTAAGGACCGATCGAAGTCCATGATGACGAATTGCCTTTGAGTGATCTTTATAGATACATTGATCTGGTTTATATTTAATTTAATATATTATACCAATATTTGACGTTCGTTGGCAAATCAAAGGTGACAGATGTATAATAATATTGGATTATTGGTTGATAGCAAAATACAAGTAGTTGAGTTGCAATTATTACGTAAACATTAGCAGAATTGGCCTACGGTATTGGATCACACGGACCATTAACGCTCAGTTGCGAATAAGCAGTTAATATCTTTTTGATCAGTCTTTTATCTGTATCGATTACAGATCGTGATGAGTTTTTACGTTTTATATGAAATCATCGATTTCAAGCTACAGCATCTATTTTGTTTTACTTCTAATGTTACCAGTAAATTTCAGTATTATCGATGGATTGAGGATTAATTAAATTACTCAGTCGTATTGTAGAACGATACGTTCAGCTACTCGGCTGGTCAAAAGTCAACCTCCCAATTGGTCGACTGATAATACCTCTTGGCTGCGACATTTACATAATAATAAAAGGATATTTTTATAATATCCCCCACACCATCGTAATATGGGTGCATTCCCGGGTATATTCTGATGTGAGGTATGGGTGCAGATATAGAGTCTATATTTATTTTACAAAAAGAGCAGTAAGGGCCATTTATCAATTGGGTTCAAGAACATCACTTAGAGATAAATTCAAAGAAATTGGGATATTAACAGTGGCCTCCCAATTCATATACAACTGTATACTTTATGTTAGAAACAATATTAACAATTATATTAAACATAGTCATGTACACAATTTTAATACTAGAAACAAAGATAAACTTGTTTTGCCGTCATGCAGGCTAAAGAAGTTTCTATCGTCATTTATGGGTCAAGGTGTACACTACTATAACAAAATTCCTATGGAAATTTTAAATTTACCATTACCTAAGTTTAAAACCCATATTAAGAATTTTTTACTCAGTAAAGGATATTATACTGTTAATGAATATTTAAACGACAAAACTGCTTGGAGTTAAATATGGCTAATTTTTCATATATATAAAATTGTTAATCGGTGAGCTTCTTTGGCTACACATGTGATTGGATTGACGAAAATACTGTTTTACTCTAATATTGTGTTATATTGTAATGGAAAGTGACTTCAAATTTTAATGAAGTCATTTTTCAATCTTGACATACAGAGGGTATGAAATAAAACAGGAAGAAAAAGCAGCCCTTGCCGAGTTTCTTGCCGGTTCTTCTCGGTACAAGGTCTCCCGCCGTAGATTTACGAACTGATGGCGTAGCTCTCGACTTTCACAAGTGCTTGTAACAGCCTAGACTGAATAAATAATTTTAATTTGATTTGATATTAAGACTATTCTTTATTTTCAGGAATACAGAAAAAACAATTGTTTGGATGCCACAACGCTACCAGTGGACAACTACTATTAATATCTTATTTCAACTAATTATTTTTGAGGAAATAAAACATCTAAATTCGACAGTCATTGTACTATGTTTTTATTTGTTATCTAACAACATATCCTATATACAAAAACTTTATATTCCACATTTCATTTATGGAACAATTGCAATTTGCTGCAGGCTATTTCCAATATAATATCATTAATGATTCAATTAATAAGAACATTTATCGCCTACATATTAAGTAACAAAATAAATAATTGCTAGATAGACAAAGATAATACGTAGAAATCTGCATAAAAATGATTGCAAAAAGATGTAATTATAGTTTATATATTTATCTAAACTTAGCTTCTAATATTTAAGTGTTATGGATACTTAATATAGGAAATTAAAATAAGTAATAGTATTCAAAACACTCAAATGTTAGGAGTTGGAAATAGCACTTAAATTCTAGCCATACTTAAGGTTGAATACACTAGCTCATGGTACGTATATCTTGTCACTTATGAGTATATATGCAATAAAAATGCAAAACACGACATAACAAAAGTGAACTTTCACATTGAGACTTGATCAAGCTAAAATTCCACTGAAATCTGATTATGATATTAGAAATTTTAAAAATAAATCAAAGTTAATTTTACATTTAACTGCACCGACCGCTTAATTTTGTGCATTATAAATTACGTTTAAAAGATCTGTAAAGAAATGAGCTTAGTGTATTACCTCATAGTATTTAGTAAGGGGAGGTCTTCTGTTTAAGAACAGCCTGCACGCATTTTGCCATAGTAGGGGAAGCACGACTGATAGCGTCTGTCATGAAATAGTCCTCCAGTTGTTTCAACTGCACATCCAACTTGCCCGAAACTGGCTTTTGAAGACTCTGTCAAAATAATAAAAAAATATGAATAAAACATTTGACTTCTCTTTACAAATATAGTGAATTCCCAGATAATAGAAAATTTAACCCATTCAGAGACCAGAGTATTTACTTTGGGCAACGAAAATGACGGCAATCTTCAAAAAATGAATAGCTGAAAACATTGCGCTGAAGAAGGAAAACGTTATAATTAATTACCTATTATTTTATGTTTATTATTGCACAAATTAAAATATAATTGGCTACTTGACAGTTATAACGATAAATTATAAAATATCTTTGAAACAATAAGTATGTGGCACTTTTTGTTTTAAAATAAATTATAATTATATTTTATTTTTGTAAAACTAAATTACAATTTATCTTTGCATTACAAGAACCAAACGCAGGCAGCCATGACGGAGCGTCGTATGGCGTCACATTTCAATAAACTAAATGTTATCAACTTTGTTGCGAGTGCAACCCAGTGCTCATTGGCATGAAACGTCACGGCTTCATATTTCGCCTGGCTAATAGTTTTCGCGGGATAATATAAATTAATTGATAAAAATATGTTTTTCTTTATTCAATGACACTTTTTGTGAAAAAATAAATCTGATAGTGAACTAACTCTCCCAAAACAATCAAGTAGCCAATATATTATGGACATAGTACATTATATTATGGAACTGAATATTCTTGTATGTTAACAGACAAGTCATTTCTACTAACCTTAGCTAGAGCCCTTGCCTGTGCGAAGTAGTTATTCGCCTGTACATCGCCATACGCAACGAGCGCGGGACTAACTTGGCTGAGACGTTCGCGAATCTCGTCTAAGTTGTCATACGGCAAACCGGCACCAGACACTTCAGATAAGGCTCTGTTAAAAAATTCAATAAAAATGTAAGAATAAGGTCACACGCTACATTGATAGTGTAAAGCTGCGCTATAATGACGTCTGGCTTCTGCAAAGTACTGCGTGCAAAAAAGTCGCTGTCGATAGCGTGTTTGCGCGGACAGCGGTTGTACAGTAAGCGCGTCTGATAATTAGTACAATTAGTGATAACTCACTGACAATGAATATTCAGAAAATATCTAATAATAAGCGCAAATTAATAAACTACATTTAATATATTTTCTTAAAGGTAATTTTCAAATTGTATGGAGCCTGGGCTATCCGCGGCCCATATTTCTGATATATATTTATATTATGTAGTCCTATAAATACGGTTAAGGTGTAACAATAATAATGAGCGATCTTTCTCGTCCCTTTTTTTTGTACGGTCAATGACGATATAGGAATAGTAAACCCTAAACCTCACGTGTCCAGACCGAATTCGGACTAGTAGTACTAGTTTTTTTAACCGAGGCAGAATTTTGATATTGCTTTTACCCCCAATCATGAATTTATAATGTTATTATTATGATTTTGACTGATCACTGCACCCATTTGGAGGCCCCCTAGGACGGGAGGCCCAGGGCGGACCACCACCTCCGCCCTTTAGTCCGCCATTGAAGTAATTAACTTAATTTCAAGTGATTAAGTGTGTAAACACACATTGATCACAAAAAATTAAGTTAAACATTTAGTCCGTGTAAACCAGCCATAAGAGTGTAATCTGTCCGACCTGATTATCTTCCAGTCGTCGCGCGCTAGTCCCGGCGGCGTGACGGCGGGGAGCGTCTGTTGGGCGCGCCCCTCCGCGTTCACGTACGTGGCGCGCTTCTCCGTGTACGCGGCGCCCGGCAACACCACGTCCGCTATACTAGCGCCCGCGTCACCGTGGTGACCTTACAATTTAAAAATGTTTATCTACACTCAAAACGAAAAATTCCAATTACGAATTCAAAGACGATTCTATAATCACGCACTTTATAAATGCATAAACATAACATTAGAAATAAAACTCATTATAGTACCGCCAACTGTATCATAAAACTCATTAGAGTACCAGAGTACCGCTATCTTTTTTTATTCATGAAACTAGTCTATGGTTTTAGGCTGAATACGAAAAAAAAAGCGCGCGCATGCGTTGTTTGAAATTAATATCCCGCGCTTACCATCAATTTTTTTGCCGATCGTGTTTTTGTATTCGGGATTCCAAAAAATTACTTCCTTGTAACCTACCTACTTTGTTTAATTTAAATTTTTCCTATGAGTGAAGATAAAGCAGTGTTATGAAACTGCATATAACTTAGATATTAAAACACTCGAGTTAATCTATTATCGCATTCGGCTTCACCTCATGATAAACACTCGTGTTTTAATATCCCTTCTTATATGACTGTTGCATAAACTACTATTATATAGCCTTTCAACCGAAATTGCTACACCTAACAATAATTCAGTTCTTTAGATATTTATGTATTGTAACAATTGTATGTCAACACTTGGTTTGCAAATAAACTTTTGACTTTGATGTCCCTGCTGCTGGGGCTGGAATCAGATAAAATCGAATATGAACATGTCTTTCTACTTTTGTATATCATAGACATAGATCATTTGAGATTTTTACACGAGAAGATCTAAAAGTTTTATTATCTGGATGGTATAGTGATAAAATTTTCTTTTCCTTTTTTCTTCCTAACTATGCTTCTCCGCGCTTTGGTATGGGTGAGGAGGGTGAGTATTTATCTACATAAATTCTACTAAATATTGTTCTAATGTCATAGTTCCTCGACCCCCCCTAAAGTGTGACGTAATTTATGAGTGACCCCTTAGCTAACAATGCATTGCCATCTAAACTAAATATGAGCTTAATCGATTGATTGTGCTAAAATTGAGCTTAATCGATTGCGGATAACCGTTTTAAATTCAGTTGCAACATTTGACGAGCGTACATACATTACAATAAAATTAAACAATACAAAAAATACAATAAAATTAAAGCACTCTCTGAGTTGTAATGCATTTAAAACACTTTCGATGCTACGCTTTTCGGCGCGGTTTTTGTATGAGATTGCTTGCTTCTCTAGTTATTATATTCATTGTTTATATGTATATGTTTAATATAGCTACCCTGATAGATGACAACGGTGTCCTTAGGCAAAGCCTCCCGTGTGACGACGCCTCCATCAGCGCCCAGCAAGTAAACCACGCGGGGACCAGCGGCTAGAGCTTCGCCCACACCCTGCTTGTACCCGATGTCTAAAGCTGCCACTTGCGACGCGGTACGTTGAAGGACATTCAAGACCTTTTTCATAAAAGCATTTTTATTATAAATAATGATAATACTAGTGATTTTTTGTCAGATGGAGGACCATTTTTCGATCTCACCCAGTGTTGTGGGCTAATTATCTAATTACAAAATCTATCGCAATCGCTTTTGGAGCGAATGTTGATTCGAACCATCAAGAAACAATAAAACTTAGCTAAACACGTCGAAAGATTGCAGTTACCACTCATGTCTTTCGTTTGACATTACTCAATAGTCAAGGATATTGCGTCTAATGATTTTCTTTAATTAATTAATTCAAATATCTTAAAAAGAGTATTGCGTTCGTAATCGCTCGTTTAATTAATTAATACAAATATGCTATGTTGCGTTCGTAATCGCTGGTGTTGCTCGTGATTTTCCTTCTCGTGAATATCTTTCAAAGTCATATTGAAAGGAATTGCGATAAATTTTAGTATTAGATAATTAGACCCTACTGTCACTACTCATTGATCAACCAAGTGTAATTTTATGTAAACCTACATGGGGATAAAACACAGGGTTCGAAGCTATTTACTTAATATAATCTAATAATGCCTTTCAAAACCATTAGTTTCAGTGTCTATATGCAGCGTGAACATATAGATACATAGACAGATATTTAACACACCTTCCATTCCTTATCTTGAAGGTTATCTTGCAATCTTAGTGCCAATTCCTGAGTATAAGCCAATAGTGCCGCGCCCTCTTCGGTCTTCAGCTGATCCGCACCTAAAATCACCACAGGTCTTTTCGCACTCTCCAAACGCTTGAGGACCTCGTTCGAAGATGTACCCGCTGCCAGATCTTTAACCAGGGAGGCAGAATCACCTACATACTGTAATAATAAAAGATACTTAATATACAAATATTCTTAAAGCAATTACATAGTTTATTTATATGTGTTTGAAATTACCTAAATTGCACATAACTTAAATAATATATTGAAAAACTACTTTATTTGATAAATGAATAAGGTCTTTTGACACAATTATAGGTCAAAAATTCCACATCTAATAAATTTGTACTGAAAAAGTACCCTGGCACAAAAAATAATACAGTAATCGAACTCATATCAAAGCTAAACATTGTTCCCATAAAATTTACATTATATGCTCAGTACAAATTTGACTCACCCTCGACAAATTTCGTGTAAGATTAGAGTGTTCATTTAACAAAGAATTTAAATAATATTTATTACAAACCGTATATTCATAAGTGAGATCAACTTTAGGTCCAATGAGTGCCACATCAGTCTCATTATGTATGAACGCCTTACGGATGCGAGCATTCAAGAGTGGGGCCTCGAAGCGAACATTCGTACCAATGAGAAGGACGAAATCTGCATCCTCCACGTCTATTCATTAAAAAAAGGCAAAATAAAATTAGAAATGGTTATTATATTTGCTTTAATAATGGTTAATTGATGTGCTTTGCAATTTTGTATAAAAATCAACCTACTCTGAGCTAATGAAAAAAGCATGCAGAGAATTCCTGACATAACTCATTGGTTTTGCTGGTTTCACTCAACTGATATATGAAAAGTAATTTACAGTGTGAATGAGTATAAAACAGTTTTTGTATCATTGTATTGTAATGTAATTTCTTCATTGTACAAATTCCAATGTGTCAAATATATACCATTTGAAAATACAACTCACTGGCAATCTTTGTATTCAAGAGATACGATGATCTTAGATCTGTGCCGGAACCTCCTGTTGGGAAATATTGCTCGGTGTATGTGTTCTCAGAGCCAAGACGATTAACAAAGTCTTTTAATGCTATGAGTGCTTCAGCATCTGCTAAGTCACCTGCCACTGCCAATATCTACGAAGCGAAATGTAAATATGAATAAATAAGAACTGAAGAGCATTTATTATATGCGCATGTTAAATCAGAGTAACCTTGTCCGGGGGGCAGTCACGGAGGGCACGCGCGGCGGCGACGATGGCATCCTCCCACTCTACAGGTGTGAGATTCCCACGGCTGTCTTTCAGCATAGGCGTCACCAGCCGCTGCCGCTTCAAGCCGTCGCAAGCAAAACGAGATTTATCTGACAACCATTCTTCATTGATCTCCTATTGAACAACACATAATATATAACAGTATGTTGTGATAATCAGCAAACCCAGACAAGCTAACCCAGAAATAAAAGCAATGTACTAGTACTATCGACCTGAATATATGAACCTGGTCCACCTGAGGCACTTGTTTATTATTTTTCGTAAAAATAAATTTAATTACAAATTGTCTCTCATATTCTCTCATGCAGGGTCATCTGGTTGGTTTAGCCAATCACGCTCTACTGAATTCTGATTGAGCAGTACATCGGTGAACCTATTAGTTGTTTAACTTTACATATTTATGATAAGACTTTTCTTAAACAAGTCTTAGCATTATTTAATATATATTTGTAAAATACATATTTGTGATATAATCTTAACAACAAACACCTTCATAATAGAAAAAGAAACAGTAACACTCACCTCATTAGTTCTGGGCAAAATACGCAGCACTTCATTAGTGCGTGTTGCAACAACAATGTTGCTACCTAAAGGATCTAAAACATCGACGGAGTCAATCTACAAAATAAAAAACCATATTAGTCAGAGATTCAACTAATCATTTGGGAAATGAATCAATCAATTGCATACCCTCCTTGTTTCCCATGGTCGAGCAGCAAAACTATAAGGTTTTGATGTAAGTGCACCTACAGGGCATAAATCTATTATGTTGCCTGACAACTCTGAGAGGAACATTTTTTCTACATATGTTCCAACCTGAAAATTAACTTACATTTTAAGCATTATTGAATATAATTTCAACACACAGTAAACAATTAGCAATACAACAACCTGCATATCAGTTCCTCTACCGGTTGTACCAAAGTCATCAACACCAGCTACTTCAGATGCAAAACGAATACATCTTGTACAATGAATGCAACGAGTCATAATAGTTTTGATCAGAGGCCCAACGTCTTTATCTTCTACTGCCCTGCACAAAAAAATACCTTGATTACCACTAAGTTTAGATATGTACTTAAAATGCCCATCTTCCAACAGTAAAAACCATTAATACTGTAGTTTAACTTGCCTTTTTCCAGAAAAATGGATATCAGTAAATCTACTCCTATCAGAACCAAAAGCCATAGATTGATCTTGCAGATCACATTCACCACCCTGGTCACAAATAGGACAGTCCAAAGGATGGTTTACAAGCAGAAACTCCATAACACCCTCACGAGCTTTTCTGGTTAAGTCAGAGTTAGTTTTTACTCTCATACCCTTCATGACAGGCATAGCACAAGCGGCAACTGGTTTTGGAGATTTCTCAACTTCAACTAAACACATTCTACAGTTGCCAGCCACTGCCAATCTCTCATGATAGCAGAATCGTGGAATTTCTACACCAACTTGTGCAGCTGCCTGTTAATAGCATTTATATAAATTAAAACAAACTTACATATCAGCCGAGTTTGAATTAAAATAGTACCAGATCACCCTTCCTTAACATTATTAAGTTATGAAGTATAATTAAGAATTTTTTGTAAAAATATGTTATAGTGAATATCAATTTAAACTGTATTTATATACCAGTATAAAATTTCTTGAAAAATATACTTTTTACTTTATGTACCTGTAACACTGTGGTTCCAGGTAGAACATATACAGGTTTATCGTCAATGAAAACTTCTACTTTTTCTGGCTGTACTGATACTTGTTCAGCGAACCGACGAGCTGCAGGCACTACAGGAGCCACTCTTGTTGGCGAACTCAGTGCAAGCGCACGAGTAAGAGGCTGGCGTAACATTTTCTGTAGCAAACATTCGCAAAATTGAGAACAATTGCCCAATCAACCAAAATTTAAAAATTGCTCACTATTTGAAGGAAATCATATTTTAAGTTCAACACCTTCTTCAAAATTATTAATTCGGTTATGCAAAGGCTTTTAACACATCAAAAACAGCTGTTATTGTTACATAAGTACAGTACACTACCTAACCTATGTAAATATTTATGAATTTTCGATGGATTACAACGTCTAATTATTATAATTTTAAAAATAATGTGAGTTGATTATAAATATTGGAAATACGTTGTAATTTTCTTTAATCAGTACCTAAATAATCGTCCAATGCAGAAATTTAAGATAATGACAAATAGCAAAACTGATTACTGTACTCTTTGCAAAACTGTCGGTTTAATGACAATGACAATCAATGTCATTTTTTCTAGTTCTTTGGAACAGGCTAAGGTCATAGATCATACTGCCTTGTAATAAACAATCAATGTTAAACAATATTTACAATCTGTTGTTTTTTTAAATGAAGATAAAAATTATCATGTCTATTTACAGGCCAGTGTTAGGTTTTATAGATTTTTTTTAAATCAAACACTTTATGCTACCAAAAGAAAAATTCAATAACATTAAAAGTCTACTGCACAGAGACAATGTTTAGAGCACTTTACTTATTAACGTCCGATTACCAAATTATTTCACTAAACTACAAATCACTTTGGTGACACTATGCCATTTTAAAAACACCTTATTCAACAAACATTAATGAATTAATAGATTTAATACGAATCCGATCGATTCAAACCGTCAAACATAACGTTATTTAAAATCATTGGCTGTAGGAGACAGACCCGAATTTTTAACCTAAAAAAATTCTTTTTCTCTTTCTTTTTTCTCTCTCATTTTCGCATCCTGCCGGGACGTGTGCTGCGCTTAGAATAAAAAATCTCCTAAGACCACAAAAATGACTATCGGAGACGTAAAATCTGCTCAAGGCCTCGGTGAACTGAACAAATATTTGGCTGAGAGAAGTTATGTTTCTGGGTAAGTTACAATCAATGTTTCCTTAGGTTGGAAAAGTGAACCACGTCAATCGTACCAAAGCCGTATTGCAGAGGTTAGGGCTTGCATCCTTCGACTATAGACTATTATATGTGTTTCCTACAACGAATTTCCAACGTATGAAAACTATTTAAGTAACAATTAAGTGATGTCTGAATTGTTCGTACTTTCAGTTATACGCCCTCTCAAGCTGATGTTCAAGTGTTCGACGAGGTAGGCAAAGCGCCTTCAACCAGTTTACCACATGTTCTACGCTGGTACAACCAGATTGCATCGTACACACCCGCGGAGCGCAAAGCATGGGCAGCTGGCGTTAGCCCGCTGACAGCTGGTGGCAAAACTACAGCCCCGGCAGCCGCCAAACCTGCCGCTAAAGACGATGATGATGATGACGTCGACCTCTTTGGTTCTGGAGATGAAGAGGAGGTATGCTATATTTCCTTAAAGTTTTTTATTATCTTGTGATCTCTATAAACTTACTAGTATAATCTGTAATAACATTTTTTGTAGGATGCTGAAGCTGCCAGAATTCGTGAAGAACGTCTAAAGGCCTATGCTGACAAAAAATCAAAGAAACCTGCCCTCATTGCAAAATCTTCAATCATTCTTGATGTGAAACCATGGGATGATGAAACAGACATGAAAGAAATGGAAAAACAAGTTCGTACAATTGAAATGGATGGTCTCTTGTGGGGTGCTTCGAAACTAGTTCCTGTTGGTTATGGTATCAACAAATTACAAATCATGTGTGTCATTGAAGATGATAAAGTATCAGTAGACCTTCTTACAGAGAAAATCCAAGAGTTTGAAGATTTCGTCCAATCTGTAGATATTGCTGCATTCAACAAAATCTAAATGAAGCCATAATTTATTACTCTTTTCAATAAAACTCCAAAAATTTTGATTGTGTTTTTTAATCTCCTTTAAAAAATAATTGTTTATTTCATAGACCAATTTATTTTTCATTCATAAAGTATGAAATGCCTATAAGAAAAAATGTACACCTATTTTTTATTTGAGAAAACTATTATATCACAATTTATAACATGATTTATTTATGCAAGACTATACAGTGTACAAACTGCCTTAATAAAATTATATTTAACCTTTTATACAATAGTTTCACTAATACTACCATGAAATTCACAACAGTCAATATCTAATAAAATTAATCACTTAATGACTAGCTGCAATGCTGACAAAGTGAGTGACACTCATTCAACTTGCACACTCTTTGGAATAGTATCGCCAACATTAGCTTGAAAAAACATATTTGGAATGTCACTGCCAAAGTAGATCTTGTTATTTTGAGAGAGAGCTTCATATTTCTTTAGTTCTAAATATTCTTTTGTCAGTAAAACTTTATTAGCCTCTGCCTGTTTTTTTAGATGATAAAAATCTGCCTCTGCTTTTGTTTGTTGTTTAGCTTTATGGATGCTGTCTTCAATCAACTCAATCTTTTGCAATGATTCCTTCTCCATTATTTTTTGTTCATATTGAATTTTAGCTACTTGAGCTTCTTTCTCAGCTTCTATGACGGCTTTACGACGAGCAGTTTCTGCTTCTTTTTCCACAACCTTATGAAATTAAAGAATCTTTGTTGACAAGTAACACACTAAAATATATGCAATAATATTATTTACAGTTATACCTTTTGATGCTGTGCTGCAATCAAAAGTTTGGATTTTTCTGCTTCCATTAATTCATAGTTTTTTCTAATAGCTTCAGGTATTTTAGGCTTGGTTACTCTAACAGCTTGCACCCTCAAACCGGGTGCCATTTCATCAAGATCTCTTTGAAGAGCCTTAAAAATTAAAAATAATAGTTACAATACTTTAATTAAGGTAAAACAAACCTAAGAACAAAAATTATAACAACTGACCGTTCTCAAATTTTCATCAATTTGATCAAACAAATCAATATACACTTCATGTAAAGAATGAGCACTACAAAATTGATTCAATTCATGGTGTACTTTATTGAAAATCAAAGTTTTGTCATATTCTGCTGTGAAATTACGCACCATATCCAAAACTGCAATAAAATATAAACATAATTATCATGCAAAATGGTTTCAATTGAATCAAATGTAAGTATTATACAAACCACTGGATGGTTCTAGTTTGTTGACTACTTCTATTCTTTCAAAATAGATCATAACTCCACCACTAGTACCACATGGTACATTTTTTACTTCATCTGTTTGCAAAGTTGTCTATAAAAAAATTGTTGAAACTTCATTAGCTATGAATACACAAGTAAAGCGAATAAATAAATGTGCAGAATCCCAGTGAATTAGCAGTCACAGCATTATATTGATAGAAGGCCAATTCAGATAATTCATATGTTGTTCTCTTTTTTAATTATATATGTATATGCCAAATCTACCTTTAATTTATTAATTCACAAATAAAACTTCACCTGAATAGCTTTATATGATGTCAGTAAAGGTACCATCATATGAAACCCTGGCTGACTGGTTACTGGAAGCAAAGCTCCTCCCTAAAACATAACTGACTTATTTAAGATTGTATAAGTTTTTAAGAATATTGATATTATTGACTTTACAGATATCACTATAAAGTTGGATTTAACTAAATATTTTCTTATACATACACGATAATAAACTCCTACATGTCCTTCCTCAACTTTGTGTAAAGAGAAATGAACTGTAACCCCAACAGCCAAGATAACAAGAGCCAAAACAGATGATTGATCCGCCATAGTCGGCCTGTAATTATCAAACCGAGAACGCTGTTGTATAAATAGAATAATTGTAATAAATATTAAGGAATTAATTTAATAACGTTGTTCCCACCACAAATCGAAATGCACACTCACTAAAAGCGATATGATGAAGAAAAAGAAAATATTTCAACTTTTATTGCACCGATATAATTATACTGCAATATTAATTATTACATGAATTCTACGAATTGATAGGAAAAATAAGCATTTTCGAAATAGATATACTATTCATTTTTTATTTTAGTAGAAAAATTAATTCACTAAACAATCAATTGTCAACGTCAATTGCAAAGAACAACACCACAACATCACAGACAAAAAGTTTTTTTTTTATATTGTTAACGGCTTTAGAAGCATCCATACAGCCACATCTTCAGTTGTTCTTTACAAATGTAAAACATCATTTTATCTTCAATACAGCATTAGGTTTTCAAATCATATTAAAGGTTGAAATTATAAACTTGTAAATACATTCGTACGTATCTTCCTTTTCCTAGTAACGATGACAAGAGACGGGGATCAAAAAGGAATTGGGATGAAGACCTGACGGATCTTTTAGAATATTGATTCAAAACAATATGATCAACCGATTTTTATCAATTCAATTGAATCTCATGTCTGGGAGATCATTTAAAGTTTGCGCCATAGATCACTATAAACTATATAGTCAGTGCTAGTCACCGCCTGAGATATACGGACGGTGAGACGGAGGGCGCGATAGACAAGATGCACATGAGGTATTTAAGGACAGATAAATCTCAGAATAACATATTAAAATCTATCTTAATCAATGTAATGGCGGTATTTATAATGTAATATTTCTCTATTTGCTAGTTAAACAAAAATAGATTCATATTTGAAATTGTTTATTAAATTATATTATTTACGATACAGTTTTATAAGCATATTACCATTTCTCAATAAACAAATCAAAAAAATATTTTCATTGTCACCATTACAATACAAAATTAATATCTTCTTCTACATTACTAGACATGTCTTTAATTTCCATATCCACCTCAGAATCTGACTCATTTCTTAGATTTATAATTAACTCATCTATCACATTGTCAAACCTCATTTTGTGGTTCCAATATTGGTTCTCAATTTTTAGTATGTAGTCGTCAGACTTTTGCCATTTTTACAGAGTGAATTCAGAAAACAATCTTGTGATGATTGGAATTTTGTCGTCCAATGATAAACTTATATAATTTGAAGTTAATTGTTCTTTATATCGGCCCATATTAACTCAATGGGGTTGAAATCGGGATGATACGGCGGACAGGCGAAGAACAATATGACCTTCAGCCTTTAAAATTTCGTTAATGGTTTAAATTTTTTCAGACTGAGTTTATTTATCAGAAAAAGGAGTTCGGTTTTGGTATTTTCTGGGGTAAAGTCAACATTATGTTCACGTAACCAGTCTTGCATGACTCTTTTTAAACTCGGCATTGTAGGTATTTTATCAACCTGTACGCAATGCCTCCTAGCATTATCCATCACGCTCACTGAATTAGGACCTAATTAATTTTTCAATTCATGATTAACCAAGTTATGAAAATGTGTGGCATTCAAGTGAATGCCACCAAGGGGAAATCCCATGGTAATTCCCGTATTTCGAATCTGATTTGAAAATAGTTAAAGCACCGTCAACTAATTCGTCTCGACTGCCACTATGAACAATCACTAAACGAAGCCATTTGCCAAAATCATCATAAATACCAGGCTCAGGTTCGAATTGCAACACATTTTGGAATTGTGGCTACTGTTAACGTCCAGAAAATATATGTTTTATTTATTTTATTAGTATTTGGAAAACAAACAATATTGTTACACAAAAAAAAAATATATATAAACAATGTCACAAATCAATGAGGAAGTATTTAAAAAAAATGAAGAAACTACAAAAATTTATGTCACTAGATGGCAGCACAAATTGTTGGAACCTCCAGTATAATATTGTAATCTTTGGTTGGAACTAAAAGTTATGCAAACGCAACTCGATTAATACAAAGTAGTCTTTGAATAAATTTATTTTTTATTATATAGAGGAAAATAGAAACTAACATTATGGAAGTGAACACAGAGGTTTTTAAATTTATGCAGGCCCCTGACACTTAGTTCAAAATCTTGCCGTGAAGCGCTAGTGTAGATGTCTTCGCCGCCATCTTTCTTATCGATGCCGCCATATTTGTCGACTGTCACTCAAATGAAACGTCAAGTCAATTTATTGGGGTTAAAGTTTGTTTGGTTTTTGTTTGTTAACAAACAACAAACTTTGTGTTAATTGTGCGCGCTTACTTTTGGTTGATTAAAGACGCTATTTTGTGTATAATTTCCGCCCTCCCTTTTGGTTGAGTACAGACGTTATTGGTTGATGTTTTTTGTGCACTTTGACGGAGTAAAAGTGTTCTGTGAATTTGACTTGTGTTAAATAACTAACCAGAGGACTATATCCTAAAATGGGACGTCGAAAGTGTTGCGTCATTGGTTGTAAATCTACCAGTGAAACTCATAATCTCTATCGATTTCCTAAAGATAAGGAACTCAGAAAGTTGTGGATGACATATTTGGTACCCCAAAATTCTTCCTTACTAACTTTGACGGAAGACCAGCTTTTAAACAGAACTGTTTGTAACCTTCATTTTGAAAGGAAAATGTTAAATACATCAGGGTTAAGATTGCCTGGAGCTTACCCTTGTCTTTTCACAAAAAATGAGATTTGTTATGGAGTGCCATTGCTCACTGGTAAGTGAATGCACTTATTACATATAATCTATGTCAACATTTTTTCACTATTTTTATCAGTATTTCTCCTACCTGCAGCTGCAATCCTGAGAGCGAGTTGAGCATGACAAACTCGAGAATCATTTTGTCTACACCCAAATGTCACTTACATGGGTCAAGAGTGAAATATTGCATGGGTGCACCTGAGGAAAGTGATATTTGGGTATAGACAAAATTTTCTCAAGATTGTCGTGCTCTGGTGCAAGTCAAGTTTGCTGAGTTATTTTTTCTATTATTGGTATTTAAATATAAAAATAGTAATGCGAAACCTATATTACTTTATAAATTCTTTACAGAAAGCAATCTTAAAGAGGAGCATAATTATTATCAGAAATCAAATGATGATGAAGAGCCTAGCTTGTCTGACCCCTGTTTTATTCTACGTCCTAAAGGTACTAGCATTTTTTTTTCCTACTTACTCTATTTTTATATAGATTATAGGTAATAATAATAAATTACAAATAATAAAACTATAAAAAAAGAAATATTTTGATAACATTGTTCTCATATTTTAGAAAGTGTGGAGCATCTTTATACTATCCCAAATGAAACTCCAACACTTTGCATCGAAAATCAAGAGTCATCCACTAACACAGTACCAAAAAGTAAGCAATTTTTTTTTTGTAACTTTTTATAGTGTCTCTGTAGTGGGTGTTGTAGTTCCACCATTGTTTCTGATATGGGTAATACAAGGGCAATAGCAACTTAATATACGAATGGAGCAAAGCATGTGATGTCTATACCTACTGTCCCTCGTTCTTGAAAACATTATTCTTATTCTATTCTAAAATTTTCAGACATTCCATCAACATCCTGCCTGCCTGCAGTTTGTGATATGGCAACAACCATGAGAAGCGATTTGTCTAATATTGAACAGAATACAGCTAGTTCCTCATCTATTACTAAACAAAAAGCGAAAGGTACTTTTGATTGTTTTTGTGTAATACTATAACAACAATACATACTATTGTGCTCAAATAAATAAATAATATTACACTAGCAGGTTCTAAGTTAAGACAACCTCCATTTCTTGTTTCATCAATTTGGATAATCTTTAATGTTTCCATTTAAATTAAAAATATTATTACAACAACAGTATTTTTAGTGTAATTAGATAGATAGATGAACTCTTTATAGTGTGTTTACAGTAAGTTAGGGGGCAAAGGCAGTCTTATTGCTAAAATAATTAATTAGTTTAATGTATCTATTCAACAAACTATCTATACCGTCTATGCTTAACACAAAATTTATTTTGTATTACTTTTTGCTTACAGTGTTATCTCCTAAGAGGAAGTTGAGTGCCAAAAATCGGAAACTGGTTTCCAAAATTGAAAATATAGCTAAGGATAGCATTGGCAATAATAGTGCTTTAAGAATAAATCAAGCACAAACTTTGTCCTCCTCAGAAATGTTGAAAGATTTTCATAAATTAAATAACCATACCAAAACATTTATTAAAATGCAATTAAAATCTATCAGAAGTGGAAAGGCAGCTCGACGCTATGATTTGCAGGAAAAATTATTATGTCTTACCATACTAAAGCAAAGCAGAAAAAATTATAAACTTTTAAGACATATGTTTTCATTACCCAGTCAAAGAACTTTGGCCAGATTATCTGAAAAAATAGTCTTTGATATAGGGATAAATGACAACATTCTTAGGGTAATAAAAGAAAAATCACAAAAGTGGAGCACAGACAAAAGACTTTGTTCCATTGTTTTTGATGAGGTATCTATCAATACCCAATTAACATACAACGAAGAGAAGGACATCATATATGGTTTTTCTGATATTGCTGGACAAAGAAAAATGAAATACTGCGATCATGCATTAGTTGTAATGATTCGTGGAGTGTGCTCATCTTGGCGTCAACCCTTAGCTTATTATTTTTGTGAGGGTAATTATTCTTACAGTTGATGAATATTTAATATATCTTCCTCACTAGTTGATGGATATTTTAACGTAAATTATTATCTTAGTTTTTAATTATCATCTTTAAAAGAGTATAAGACTTGCTTAATTGATTTATATATGTTACAATATTTTCAGGGACCACAGCTGCAGTGGAACTAAAATCTATTTTAAAAGAAGTAGTTGCAAAAGTGGCTCAATCTGGTTTGCTGCCACTGACGTTCATTTGTGACCAAGGTTCTACATTTAGAACAGCAATTAATAAATTAAGAGAGGAAACAATCCGACAAAGAACCATTGATAATATTTTCGATGGTAAGTTATAATAATTTATAAATGGTAATTTGGTAAAATGGTTCTTAAGTCATGGAATAATCCAGGACTCAAATCCTCAGTAGGATCTCGCCCACTCCCCTTAGAGTCTCCACAATTATCAATCATGCACTACCTTTGCATAACACAAAGTTATGCAATTGGTGACAGTTGTTAGGATATTTATTATAGTTGATTATAAATATTGTTAAATTGGAAGTTCTAAATTTAAAATTTATTTTATTTCAGATGACACTATACATATATTGGGTCATGATATTAGTGTTA